CGTGACTTGCAGCCCAGCACATTTGTCGGGTAGGAGCCTGCCCTGCCCCCACAGGCTGCTTGGCCATGGGTTTGGTGACTAAGAGCCTGAGGGGAGTGGTGACTGGTGGCTCCTGTGTTGCTTGCGCTTGAAACAGGCAGCTGCCATTGGCCAGGAGCAGCCAATGGGATTGTGCTGGGGGGGGGGGCAGCAGCCACGAGGCACTGCTCCCCCTACCCTGCTGCTCACAGTGTGTGGCAAAAAAAGGGCCCTGCAGCAGCTTTTCTGCGAGGCACCCAGGGGTGGGGCAAGCACAGGGGGCTGACTGGGGCCTCCCTGATGCCTCTGCAGGCCTGATCCGGCCAGTGCAGGGTGTTTTGCCCTGGCTGCTGTAGCAACAGTGCAGGCTGCCTGCTGCCCGGGGTGGAGTCCGGGGCTGGGCTTGTGCATCAAAAGAGCCACATCTGTCTCCTTCCGAGCCATAGGTTGCTGACCCCTCATTTAGAAATTGTTCTTGAACAGACTCACAGAAGACAGACAAACAGACTCTATAATGTATAGATCTCGTATATTTCGAAGAGTTTGTTTGTGGAGTTTGTGCAAAATAAAGACATACTTTGTGATTACCTACAGATACCAAATTTTGCATAATCCATCCTGCCACTTAAAATAACTGAATGCACTATGTTTTACATTGGAGTATGCTGGGTGAAAACTTTAAATGATTATTTTTGGTTTTAATCAGATAAAATCATGGCTATTATGAGTTCATACAAATATTTGCTAACAAAATTTAAATCCAGTCACTTAGTCAACTGTCATTTTAGTGCAAAGAAAATGTTTACTGTTAAAAATCATCTGCTCCTGCCCCTTTCCCATTCTGACACCTACCCCCAGATTGCTCCTGCTCTGTCCCCCCCAAGCCAGACACCTACGCCCACCCCAGCCTGTTCCAGCACTCTCTTCCCTGGCCAGACACCTACCCCCAGCTATCTCATCCACCATCCTCCCCTTCCCAGAGACTCTACCCCCAGCCTGCTCCACTCCCTTTCCCACTGGCCAGACACCCTACCTCCAGCCCACTCCTGCACCCTTCCTGCTGGCCAGACACCCTACCCCAGACTGCTCCTGCACCCTACTTCCCATCCAGACCTTGCACCCTCATCCTCTCCTGAATCCCACCTCCTGCCCAGATCCAGCACCCCCATCCCTATCCCATTCACTGGCAGCTCTGTCCTACACACTGAACCCGTCATTTTGGCCCTACCCCAGAGCATAAAGGGATCCACAAAATCCATTAATCCTGGAACCCCAGAAGAGTTAATCTGGCCTGAGCCTTGAAGCTCAGTCCTTCCAGCCCTTCCCCTCCCCATGGGTCTGGAGCACCAGGGGAATGAGGTGTTTCAACTGGGGGCCAGGAAAGGCTGGTGACCTCCTTTCTGCTGCAGCATGGATAGGAGGGGAAGCCACAGTCTGGCTGTGGTGATTTTCATCCGGCCCCTCACCCAGCCACTGCTGCCCAGGTGCAGCAGCCTAGTCCTGGCCAGGTAAGGTAATCCAGCCCCAGCTCCCACCACCCCATACTCTATTTCCCACCCCCCAGCACCCTACCCTGCCTCCTGCACCTCACACCTCTGCACCTCATACACTCCAACTCTGACTTCTGCACACCCACATCCACAAACTATACCCCCAGCAGCAGCAGAAGTCCCATTTAATAAAGTCTGAATAATAATAGAGAGGTAGCCATGGGTATGTCTACACTACAAAGTTAGTTCGAACTAATGGTTGTTAGTTCAAACTAACGGATGTTAGTTCGAACTAACTTTCATAGGCGCTACACTAGCGCTCCGCTAGTTCGAATTTAATTCGAACTAGCGGAGCGCTTAGTTCGAACTAGGAAAACCTCATTTTACGAGGATTAAGCCTAGTTTGAACTAGCTAGTTCGAATTAAGGGGTGTGTAACCCCTTAATTTGAACTAGTGGGAGGCTAGCCCTCCCGAGGTTTCCCTAGTGGCCACTCTGGCCAACACCAGGGAAACTTGTCTGCCCCCCTCCCGGCCCCGGACCTCTTAAAGGGGCACGGGCTGGCTACGGTGCCCATGCCAGGTGCAAGCCTGCCA